CAGTCAAGGTGACCAAATGAGGGACCGGCTGGGGAGGGAGTTGCTGAGTAGTATACCTTAAATTCAAAAGATCACAACACAAGTCCGGATGAAAAATATATTTGAACCCATTTAATCTCATCCTTCTGATTAAGCACCTTGCTGTTTCTTAAGTGCCCAATGTCCTGGCATACAACCACTCTTCCTGACGTCCCATTCCAGCAGGTGTCTGTTGTAAAATTGCCTTTCAAAACCCTGAACCCATGCTCTCTTGCCCTGCCCCATTGGCATATCTGAGTATTGTTCTTGGTTTACTTTCTCCCACAGTGAAGGTCAGCGCTGTAACCAGCCTCCAGGGAAATCCAGGCAATGCAGCAAATCTTTGATTGAAACCCCACGCCTGCCCCTTTTAACCAGTAACATCGGGTCCACTAAATAAAATGCCAAGCACGGTTATTTCAAAGACATGAGTAGAACAAGGAGAAAATACTTTCATTACAAGTGCTGATTCTGGCTAAAGATACAGGATGAAAATGCTCAAGCCTGACTGAGGTCACTGAGAGCAAACATTTAAGAACGTCAACAAAAAAAAACAAAGGGAGGAGAGCAGAATTATTTTTACGCAGATAGGGTTATTGAGCCATTGAAGAATCTATCAAATCAATTCAAACAAATGTTTGAAGCAGAATCTATAATGCCTATTAAAATAGTACAGGGCAAGGGCAAAGGTTTATTTCGCCCACAAATCCCACTTTGCAATATATTCCGTGAAGTGCTTTGAGACGTCTTAATGATGTGATAAGGCACTATATCATATGCAAGGATTATTTTTATTATTAATGTGGTGGGACTAAAAGGGTAGTGTTTTCAATGAGCCAGCACAGACAGCGGGCCAAGTGGACTCTTTCTGTGCTGTCAAATTCTGATTCAAATAAAAATCATAGAAATAATAATACAGGGGTCAGCCTTTCAGTTTATCGAGCCTAGGCTGGTGGCAGCACCGGCAATGACACTAGCCATTTTCATATCAATTTCCTGCTCCCTCCCATATCCTTTTACACTGCTCAGTTTCAATTTCTCTCTGTATTCAATTACATTTCAAATTGGTGTAATTAACGAGGAGACAAAATTTATTTTATGCAAATAGCCAGGATTTTTCAGTCTGCGCTGAATATTTTACATTTATTTTGAGCATCAAAAAGATCTGGTGCCTCTGCATTTGCAATGTTAGTCTTTTTCTTAAGCTCTGCCTCTGGCACATTTCCTAAGTGGAGGACATCACAAGAAGAGCTAGTACAGCTCCCGCTACAACACATCATCAATGTACTGAAATAGAGCATCAGCACTGTTACTGATCTCAACTCCAGATTCATAGGCACAAACTGACAATGTGACAAGCTTTTACAGATCTCATAGGGAGATGGTTTGCTCATGTACAGCAAAGCCATTTCTCTTATCAGTTGCTGCTCAATCATTTGTGCTCTAATCTAATTATTTTCCATCGCTTCCCGTATCTTGCCCACCTGATAAGGTCAACTTTTCACCACAGATCCTGTCTTTTTAAAAATTGTACGTGAGGACGGGAAACTGACAAGATCCTGGGGTGGGGGGATGGGATGGGAAAGAACTGCCAGCTCTTTGATAGGAACCTCAGCACCAGTCAATGCCTTATAAAGTAAATACAGTGAATTCAAGGCGCAAGGCAGAGGACTGACCAAGTAAAGAGGGCGGATAGTGGAGTGGGTGTAAACAGGTCAGAGAGGTAGGGAGGGTGTAGGGCACGAAGTGATTTATACACGAGTGTGAGGATCTTGAAATTGATCCTTTCTGCAATTGGGAGCCAGTGGAACCTGGTAAGGACTGGAGGCAGAGTTCTGAAACTTGAACTATGTGAATAGTGGAGCTGGGGAGACCAGTGAGGAGGGCACTGAGAAGTCGAGGCGGGAGGAGACAGAGGAGTGATGAGGGTTTCAGCAGCGTTGAGTGTGAGGTATGGTCAGAAGCTGGCAATGTGGTGGAGGTGGAGGAAGCCATCCTGGTCAGGGGCGGATGTGGGTAGGAAGCTTAAATGGGGATCAAACCTGGCACCCAGTTTACACACAGGTGTGATAAACCTGAAGGAGAGGCCGGGGAGGTTAAGAAGGTCAGAGTTGCAGGAAAGAAGACTGACAGGAACCGAGAAGATGGCTTCCATCTTGCCCAAACTCACACATGAATAATGGTGCCAGCAGCTGAGGACTGTCCTCATTAGAAGGAAAAAAATCTAACACCTTCAGGTTGGGAGGGTTAGAGGGAGACAAGAAAAATGAGTGAAGGAAAAGCTTCTGATAGTTTTATAACTAAGCAACAAAGTTCAGCCCTTGTCCTCTGCAATCTGATGAGTGTTTACCTAACGCTTCCCCAGCTGAATTTGTCTTATTATCCAAGTCGCTAGCCCTCACCATCTGTTCTGTAAAATTCTAGGATTAGATACATATTTTAATTTCTATTAAATGAAATTTTAAGCATTATGTTTTAATGTTCTCTCCCCCCCCCACCACACCCACCCCTGGGAAAATGTGCCAGTCCTGAGTACAACTCCTCTCCTCCACCATGCTTAGTCACCATGAGAGAATGAGAGGAGCCCCAAACTGGCCTACATCACGTCATTTGTTGTTTCTGCCCAGACACGTCATCTGTTCAATCCCACTTCCTAACTCCCGATGGCTGCTAAATTTATCACTTCTCTTTTAACAGATGCGTCAAAAATATTTGTTACATTATCATGAGTACAAGATGACAGGGTGGGAAGAAGGATGGGTGAGGGGATAAAAACCAAGAGCAGGTGGGTAATGTCACATCCACAATGTGACTCTCGTTCTTAGTTCCAGAACAAACAATGAACGCTTTTTATAGCAGTCAGTAACAAGAGCCAGAAAAGCAGTTTATAATGAGATTTGCATCTGTGGGGAATGGCTATAATAGGAGCAAGCGGAAACTTGGTAAAAGGTTCCCAATAGATCCCTGTGAATCACCAGTCTGGCTCCTCACATTCTGGGAGCATCATGGCAATGGACTGCTCAAATAGAGGGAAATGAAAGTTTTGCTGGCTTACATAACCCTGACGTTGAGAAGGAGCAATGATCTCATCTGACAGCTGCTTTTAGAGAAACTGTGTTTTATGGGATCCATCGACTAATTCAAAGTACCGGCATGGGCTTGAGCTGAGTTCGATGTGGCAGCCCACTGGTGCGATCCATTTGTGTGCCAAAGTGGTTCCACTCAACGTGAGGATATGGCTTCCTACCTGCCATTACTGGCTGAGAAAATGCTAGATTGTCCAATTCTCCAAACTGAGGGATTTAATGAGAAGAGGGGAGCTAAGTCAAGCTCCTGCTCAAGTTGCCACTTCACTGTTTTGGTTGGTGCGTTACTCGGGAGCGTGCAATAATAATCATCCTTTCATTTGATATACTGTCTTGTCATCACAATGTCTCAAAGCTCTTCACAAGTAACTTCCTCATCACTCCATCCACATTACCCACCGAACATGGCGACGGATCATTATCTGCCATGAAAATGATGGCGCTCACTAACACTGAATACAATTTAGTACTTCTAAATACAATTATAATCATTCTTCCACACATTTTAGTTGTTGGTCAGTGTTCTGCAGAAAATATATGGGGGAAACAGGATTTTGTGAACACCCTGTAGATTGATCTGCTATCTGGTCTCTAACTGATTCTGCATATCAGAAGGTGGGCATAAGGAGCCCAACGCAATGGGGGAAGCACTTGTCTCAATGCCAGGTCCCAACACTCCACTGAGCCACATCCCTCTGTACTGTCCCTCTGCTTTCAGTCCTATCACCAGTGGCCTTAATTGGCACGTTTAGAAAATATAGTGCTTTGGTTGTACAAAATACTCAATAGACAAAATATCATCTAAAGGAAGATATAAAATTAAAATTGGCACTATTTTCACAAGAACAGACAGTTCCGAGGAGCTCTAACAGATTGCATTCAAAATGATAAATTACTGGAATTTCTATGAATTTATAAACACTTGGACCTGCTATCAACAACTGCAACTGGCATTTATATAGTGCCCTTCACATGGGGTAGGACTCAAGAATGCTTAGAACTTAAATGTTTTATTTATATACAGGCTATGAACAAATCTTAAAAATGAAACTTGAGGGTCTGAAGCTCAATTGGGGAGAATTTTTTCTTGTGCAATTTTAAAGCCTCCGGAATTTAGGAAATTATTAAATTCATCCCTCATTTTGAATCCAGTTTTCCTCAAGTTCTTTCAAGGTTGAGATTGAATTTAACATTTGACAACATTATTGGATGCTATAAAATGCTAGAAAAAGAGTATATCTAGAGCCAGGTGGAATTTCTCCCCTATAGTAAGAATAATCCATGCATTTGATATAATGCTTTTCATGTCATTGAAACTTCACATTCTCAAAGTGCTTCACAGAATATACTGTAAATTATACTGTGAATTGATATTCTATTTTGTGGGCAAATCGTGGCAGCCAAGTGCGCACAACAGTGACCCACAAACTGTTGTGGATTGAGTGATCTAATTATTGTCATTTTTTTATTTTGGAGGGATTATTACCCTTGAAAAGCAATATGCCAATTAAGTAACAACCAAGTTCCTTCTTACTGCAAGGTTAACAGAGGGGTGAGAAGTAAGGACACTTCCCTAAGATTTTGCCCGGCCCGGGTATTAAATCCATGTCCTCTCTCTTGCGAGACAAGTCTCTAACCAATACATTATAGGACTCCACACCCTGTACTCCAATAGTAATGGAAAGATTGAACCCTGCCGGGAACCAGAACTGATCACAGGAACTTTGCTGCATCACAGGTCAGTCAGTGTGCGACACATCACGGTATCACCACATTTTACACTGCATTGCCTGAGTTACCACACACGGTTCCAATCCCACCAGGGTACCCATGTAACATTGCCTCAGAAAGAAAAGAGGAGCCTCGCTTCCGGTCACATTAATGATATAACAGTACCTCAAAGCAGAAGTCTTGCCCCAGGATGCTGCTGTGCAAGGGCTTGACAAAGACATTTTGGTCCATGGCCAATTCCAAGGCCTCCACTGCACTGCCAGGACTCAGCAGGGACTCATGTGACCGCGATTCTTTCAACTTTGGTAAAGCACGGGTTCTGCAAACAACAGAGATGAATACATGATAAAGTGCATCAGCTGGAGAAAAAAGATAAAAAAAACAGCTTGTACAACACAAAGAGAAATTAGTCCAAGCATTCATCGAAACATGGATCAGATCTTCAGCCTCGTTTCTTTCCTCACACATTCTCTCTGTCTCACTCTCTGAACACCACCATCATTCCTTCTAAGTGAAGCAGTTAAGCTCCCGGAGAGGTTACCCTTTGCCACTCTGTGACCACCAATAAGTCGGATGTGCCCGATTCATGTTTTTTTTGTCAAATGTCAGTAGCTTTGCTCAATTAGATAAAACAAATACCACTTCATAAAAAAATTGAAAGGGAGACAATAGAGAGTATTTAAACATTTTTCTCCAAACCGTCAACCTCATCCCAAAGACATTTCGAAGATGTTATAAGTTGCTACATCAAATGCAAGGATTATTATTATTACTATTTCAGTTAGGGAAGCAGTAGACAGGCTACAATTATACAATTCAATTTACTTTTATATTGTGCCTTTCGTGTCGAGAGAAAGTCTCAAAGCGCTTCACATTTGACTGGGCATCTGAGCTGGGGNTGGGGGGGAAGATAACGGAAAGCTCAGTTGACAAGATAGGTCTTAAAAGTTGTAGAAAAACTCTGTGAAAATGGCAGTGCCTGTGTATGCACATGCATGGATATGGAATGTGTGTTTGTGTGCGCGTGCGCACATGTCTGAGTGTGCATGTCTGTCAAATGGTGAGAGGATTGAGCTTGGCTCTGATGGTCTCCCGTAGCTATCTCAGCTACTGACTTATAGATTTTGCTGAATTGGGTGTATGTGTGGGAGGGGAACAAGCAACAAGAACAGCTCAGACGGTGCAGGGGGTGAATCCGCTCCGGGTACACAGCAGTGCCCATCGTTAACTGCTCTCTGCAGCCCTCAAAGGATTTGAAGACTCCAGATTTCACTGTGCTCTGTGAAATATGTTACACGTAAATCCTCACCATTGTGAGGAAATTAACGGCAGAGCGCACTAAGAGTATCTTGCGCGAGAAAGCTTTGAAACCGATTTGTTCCATGGAAGAGTGTGGTGGGGGGGGTTAGCCTTTAAAGAGCACTGTATTTCTCTGCATGGAACATAGACAATTCTACAATCAGTATTCTTCAATAAAGGACTGTAGATTCACAAGAACATACAATCCTAACTAGGGAACGTTCTCTTCAAACCTATTAAGTCATTCACAAAATATATATTCCTGACAGAATTGCTGTGAAAAGTGGCTGAATTTAATTAAAAAAACAGGAATTGGAAAGCATTGTACTTGTGCAGCCAGAGCTGCCCAAGCCAGCACGGCTTTCGCTCACATAGCTGGGGATATGTCTTCACGGCTCATTGAGACTACCTGGCTGGTCAACCATCAACATTGCTTCGAATCACCTGCCAGTTGTCGTGGAGTCCCCTCGCAGAATGGTTCGTGCGATCGCGTTGCAAGCGAGAGGGCCTGGGTTCGATTCCCGGGCTGGACGAAACCTTAGATAAGTTTCCTTACTCCAGATGCCTCTGTTTTTCTAGCAGTAAGTAGGAACCCGGCTGTTAGTCGATTGTTTGTAGATCGTTTTCCGGTAATAATCCCTCAAAAAAAATGTGGTCACTCAATCCACGACTGTTTGTGGGACAATGCTGTCAATCCACTTTACAATATATTCTGTGAAGTGGTTTGAGACATCGCAACGATGTCATAAGGCGCTATAACAAAAGCAACAATTATTATCATAGTTGCATCTCCGCTGAACATGTTCAACCCTGGAGAAGAGTCACTGTCCTCTCTCCCTTTGTCCCCACCTCCCTCTCACCTGCCCACTCTTGGACAGAATAAAGGGTTGAGTGAATTCACAAGGATTCAAACCCAGAATCTTTCAGACCCAAGTCCAATGTCAGTTGACTGGGCTATCCAAGGCTATTACCCTAAACAATATCCAATAGACTGCGCTAAAAGTTGTTCAATAGGAGCAGTGGTACATGGATCCACGTCCTTGTAAAATACAAACAACATGAACACCACTGTGAACTTCAGGATTGGTGGCTCAGTCCCAAACCCAAAGTATTCGCCTGTCACAGAAATAACTGGATGGGGAGGGAGTCTGTTGCTCTAACCTCCTGGCAATCTGCCAAAGAGCACCTCCCTGGACAGACTCTTGGCCACATTGTTTGGACAATGTATACACAGACAGAGTATACAAACTAAAATGTGTGCAGACCAAGAAAATGATTTGATTTCTGAAACATTACTTCCATTTTAGGGAGGAGTTTATATAAAACAGTTCATAGGCTATCCTTTGCACTCATGTCCATTCAACAACAAGAATTATCCTTGCATTTTGATGAGGTGCCTTAAAGTGCTTCACAGTGAAGTGTAGTGACTGTAAACGTAGGTATGAATTCACGGCTAAATTTGCACATAGCAATGTCTTACAGTCAGCCATGATTTAAATGAAGAGTTTTTGATCTACTGGCCAGGACACTGGGAGAAATTCCATTCTTTCTCATCAAGGCTTTCGTCAACTCCCACCTTGATTATTCCAATTCCATCCTTGCCAGTCTCCCCAGTTCCACTTTTCACAAAATCCAACTCATTGAAAACTCTGTTGCCCTTATCCTCACATGCACCAAACTCCGTGCCCCCATCACCCCAATCCTTATTAGGCTCCACTGGCTCCATTTCACAGAACAGATCAGTTTCGTTTACAAATTACTTTATCTCCCAGGTAACTCCATACTTCTCCAACCTGCTAAATCCTCACTCCACTACCTGCTGCCACTGCTCAGCGGGTCCTGTTTATCCCTTGTGCCCTCCGGTCCAGCATTGGAGGCCGTACCTTGAGCCATGATGCCCCGAAACTATGGAACGCTCTTCCTCAACCATTGTGCATTGCCTCCTTCTTCCCCATCTTCAAATCACACCTGCAGACTTTCCTCTTCGACTGTGCCTTCAGTTATCACTCCACTCTTCCCAGCTCTGTATTAAACTGCACCACTGTTAAACTCTCCAAAACACTATCCTGTGTGAAGGGTGCCATATAAATGCAAGCTTTTGTTTTAGTTGTAGTGCCATAGGATCTTTAACGTCCGTCTGAACAAGCAGACGGCACATTGCTTTAACGTCTTATCCAAAGGATGACACCTCTGACAGTGCGGCGCTATTCATTTCCTGAAGCTAGATCTTCTGCTGGTAGATTCACGTCTCCTCCACTTCTATCCCACCCCTTTACTCCACCCACACCCCTCCCACCCCACCTCCTTCTCCCTCACAAATCATCTCATGAAGAGTTCCCACGATTTAATGGATTTGAGATGGAGGGAAGAGTAAAACAAACTAAAAAGCAATGAAGCCACATTGTTCACAGATCGCCAAGTCTCAGATTTGCGTGTGGAGCACACCATCTGTTCCACCATTGGTGGCCATGCCTTCAGCCACAATGCCCCGAAACTCTGGAACACTCTCACTCAATCCCTCCGCCTTGCCCCATCCTTACCTTCTTCAGATCACACCTAAAGTCCTCCCCCCACTCCCCAGCTTGGCATCGTGCACGAGGGCCACTAAATAAATGCAAGTTGCTGTTTACAGGCTGGACACAAGGAGGCAGAAGAAAATCAATGTACAGCAATTATTTTATAACCCTCAGTTGATGCCAGAACAGCAGAAGATTGCTTCAAAATTTTCTAAGACAAGCAGGTATGGTATTTGCCCGAGACTGTTTAAACAGGTTAACCAGACACTGTACTTACATTAGGCAGCTTCGCAGCCATGTAACCGAGCAACCCCAGATCATGGCCCCAGCGTCCTGGAGGAGGAGGTGAGGGCACCTCTTCTCCTTTTCCAATAACAAGGCCAATTCTTCCTCCAGGTTTCAAATCAGGAACAGGCTGTGTTGCTCTTCGGTGCTTCTAGTTTACATGTCTTTTGACGGTCACACAAGACCCTTAGCACTTATAGCAATATAGAACCTTCTACCTTAAAAGAACAGTAGCAGACCTCTGGCCAGTCAATTTTAATCACTTTGCTCCTCACCACATATTGTGGGATTTCGTTCTCAGACACACCACCTTCTCTCAATCACAGCCCAGGTCAGGCTCCAGCTACTGCTGTTTCGGCAGCCACACAGTCTGCAAACTTTCTCCAGATTCCATGACAGCAGATCAGTTACAGATTGCGTCCGGCCACGCAAGGAGAGCAGGGTGATTCCTTTCACTTTTAGACGATAACAGGTGCAAACTGTCCCAAAGCAAGGCCAGGGCCAGGCTGATCCTCACCACGTTGTGTTGATCACACATCCAGCCCAGGCCACTGCTCTGCCCCTTGTCCCACTCACAGCCCAGTTGCCTTAAGTTGGTCCCAAACCCTGGCCTGGGACAGTACAAGCTCTTCCCAAACGCCGGCAGAAAGAAGCCACTTGTCTTGATCTCCTCTAAAGCACAGGTCAACCGGTTCCCGTTTCTCTGCGACACAAAATGCCAGCAAATAGACTCTCTCCACTTGCTTCCACACGCAGGGGGCTGCAGGTTCCTTGCTCTGCACTGCAATACACTCCGATAAACAGTGGGAACAGGTTGCTCCGAAAAGGAAGAAAATAATTTCCGGACAACCGCAAGACTCCAGCTCTTCAGTTGCACTAACGTAGGCCTGATGCACAGTGTTTTGTCCCACCTGGGGCTGTTGCCATGGTAATACACCCATAAGCAGATTAAGTGTGTGAAAGCAGCAGCGAGAGCCAGTCAGTCACTCGCAGGCTCCCTCTTCACTGCAGCAGTCTTCCAGCCGCGTACCGCTCACATCACAGCAATGAAAAGCAATGTGACCCTCAAGAAGAACAAAGCTAATCTCACCTCGAGAGGGACTGACTGTCCATCACATGACCTCTACGCTGTCTCCTGGCACACTGCAAGCTGAGCAGTCAGCGCGAATGGAGTGGCCCACTGCGTAAAAAAGCTCTCCTACGGATGCTTTGTATCTGG